CTTTACACACACATGAACTTTAATGGCATCCCAGTCTTAGTCCGTAGGGTTCAATATTGAGTTGGCTCACCCTTTCCAGCTATAATAGCTTCAACTCTTCTGGGAAGCTGTCCACAAGGTTTAGGAGTGTATCTATGGGAATGTTTGACCATTCTTCCAGAAGCTCATTTGTGAGGTCAGGCACTGATGTCGGACAAGAAGGCCTGGCTCACAGTCTCCGCTCTAATTCATTCCAACAGTTCTGTTGAGTTGAGGTAAGGAGTCTGTGCAGGCCAGTCAAGTTCCTCCACCCCAAACCTGCTCATCCATGTCTTTATGGACCTTGCTTTACGTACTGGTTAGTAGTCATGCTGGAACAGGAAGGGACCATCCCCAACTGTTTCCACAAAGTTGGGAGCATGAAAATTGTCAAAAATATCTTGGTATGCTGATGCCTTAAGAGTTCTCTTCACTGGAACTGGGGGGCAAAGCCCAACCCCTGAAAAATAACCCCACACCATATTTCTCCCTCCACCAAACGTTACTGTCAGGAAACTAGTGCAGCTAATGCTAATTCTTCTGCAGCTCATATGAATTCCCCTTCAGCTAATGCTAATTCCTGCGCAGCTAATGCTCGTTCACTTGTACCAGCACACAGATGAGCCCAGGCTAATATCCAGCATGCACGTCTTCCCGCATTGGTGCCAAGCTGCCTATTTAAAGGAGACTCAGCTGTGTGCCAATTGCTGGATGTTCTTCAGCTTCCTGTGACCTGTGTTCCTGTTTGTACTGACTGATCTTCCATTGCTGACCTGGCTTGCTCCTGACCTTGCTCTGTGGATTCTGGATTCTGACCTTGACTTGCCTTAGATTACTCTCTGCCTGATCTCCTACTGCTGACCCCGGCTTTCTACTGGACATCGCTCTGCTTGCTAACCTGGTGGTACCGGCTGTGGCCTGCTGCCTGACCACGTTACTGTCTCACTGTGTATGACCCTGGCTCAACTTGACTACATTCCTGACCATGGCAATCACCTGCTATCAAGCTATTGGCACCTGTGCTGCTTTGAGCCTTGTACCTCTATCACCACATTCAGGGGTGCTTGGACCAGAGCCACAAGGGCAGCCCTCTCGTCAACTCGGCATTCAACCAAGGTACCTGACAGTTACATTTGGCACAATGCAGTCAGGCAAGTACCGTTCTCCTGACAGCCGCCAAACCCATTGGATTGACAGAGAAGCATGTTTTGTCACTCCAGAGAACACGTCTCCACTGCTCTAGAGTCCAGTGGCGGCGCGCTTTACACCACTGCATCTAACGCTGTACATGGCATTTGGTGATGTAAGGTTTGGATGCAGCTGCTCGGCCATGGAAACCCATTCCATGAAGCTCTATACGTACTGTTGTGCTAATCTGAAGGCCACACGAAGTTTGGAGGTCTTTAGATATTGACTCTACAGACAGTTGGCGCCTTCTACGCATTGTGCACTGAGCCTGATTCAGCGATGCACACGAGAGTTGAGTTATTGGCCTTTGGCTTCAGCTGCTGTCAGTCGCAGCCAGTGAGGAGGGATTGGGGCAGCCCTGAGCCATGCTTTGTGTGTCTTTTAGACACACACAGGTGGTTTAGGAGCGAGCCTGCACTAGTGCCCCCATAGCAAGCAGCTTGCTATGGTGTGCACTCTGGGGGGGAGGGGCCATGAGTGCTGATGCAGGACCTGAGAAGAGGAGGAACGGGGCTGCTCTGCTTTAGAACCACTTTAAGTTCATTGTATGCATTCTATGTAATGTAATACTTGGAAGTATTTTTTTTTTACCTCTCAGTATGTAAGGTGATTGTAGCTGAAATAAGGCACTTATACAGTACTCTCTTATACCTCACAAAGTGATGACAATACTTCTGGAAATTATCTTCTTTACTTTATTTTCCAGAAATCCATAACTCAAGCATGTAAAACTTGCTGTCTGCACAGTGGCCTGTATGTTCTGGGCTGTGTGTACATATATATTTACTAGCCCCTTGCTTCAGACTCTTACCTTACAAATTTACAGCATGAGTAATCACTGGGGGAAAGAGAGACTATAAAAATGATTCCTCCTGCCTGCAGCAGACTGAGAAAAAAATATTCTCAGATCATGCCTCTCGGCCTAGACACATTTACTTCTTTTTTTTTTTTATTTAAAGTTGTACATCGTGCTTGATAGGAAATAAAACAATAAGAGAAACTGCTTATCACTCTCTCCCTTATCATATGAGCTTGAAACACTTAGGGCCCATTAAAATGGCATGCTGTGGTAAAGCTCAATTAACCGTGGTAATGCACAATTGGTTCGCCTTACGTTTGGTGCCATACATTGCACAGTAATGTACTACAATTCACTGTGAATATCTGTGTTAACAAAAATGTGCAGATGCAATTTGGATATGTTGTGGTATGTTTGGGAGCTTCTTCAGTTAAAAGGGCTGCTTTTACACAACACCCATTACTTGCATCATAATGTGCGTTGTATGCACTGTAAGGGATCACTGTGTTGTGAATATACAATTACACTTTCATGAGTCTCAAACAACCTACTTACTTGACGTACAGTATTTACAATTTTGATTACCAACATTCTTTTACGTTCAAAATGCTCTTAAAAAAAAAAAAGTAATTTAGGAGCAAACATTTGTTCTGTAGAGGAGAACAGTGCAACGGAGCAAGAATAAGACAACCGTAACTGGACACAGTTTTAGTAGTCTGTTGAAAAAGTAAATATTTTGAAGTAACTACCAAAAAAGGTAGTTTATATTTATTTATATAATGCCATGCTCAAACGCTGGCTGTAAATTATAAAGAATAAATATTTCAGTGCAAGAACAGTCTCTTATGAAAAGGAACAGAATTGGAAAATGTTCTACAACGAACAGATATTCTGGCGACAGTCTTGAAGACACTTTACACATGTTAGATTAACACCATTATTTCATGTATAATCCGTCCAAGGAAACACTGTCTCCTTTTTTTGTCAACAAGGCATTTTTTCCTGTTGCTGTTAAAAGAAACTCTAATTTACTGTAGACATCGGGTCTTGCTTCATTCACCGCATCTCACTTTTTCTGAATGCTTTTTCTCAAATGTGTTTCATTATTTGGCTGAAAGTTGTAAATTAGTTATTTCAGTTGTTTAGGGATTATTTATAAATCACTAGCTATACTGACCTTTTGAGTGTGCATATACATGCTGTGGTTTTTTTTATTGTTAGTGAGATGTGTTCTCCTTATATATCTGAATTTTTGTCCTGAGGCTTCATGTAATTGTGCTGTTAAAGTTCACCTTGCACTAAAAATGCAAGATCTGCTTATTTGGTTTTCTCTCTTCCTCAGTGCAAAAACGCTAAAATATATGAGACAAAATATTACTTGTAAGGAAAATGCATATTAAATACACTTGCCTTTCGCCTGATTCTGGCCATGGCAGTTGGGTAAGGGTGCCAAGTAACTCAGATCTTGTGTGGATGCACTTCTGCACTATGCTGTAGCTTCACCTTGTGAAATTTGGGCTGCTCCGCATTCTGCAAGATCTTGTCAGAAGGAACTTGTTGTCACCCCCTGCAGTATGGAAGCTGGGGGAAAGTTAAACTGATTCTAAAGGTTGTAATATAAGAAGAATAATAACAAATATGTTATATTTACCTGCTCTGTTTAATGGTTTTGCACAGAGCAGCTTGATCATCTTCTTTTTCTGGTCCCCTGCTGGCGATCCAGGCTCCTCCCCCCTGTCTAATACCCTCAATAGCAAGCCTCTTGCTATGAGGGCACAAGCAGGCTCACTCCTGAGCCACTCTGTCTGTTCACACACAGAGCATGGCTTGGCCCCGCTCTTTCCTCATTGGCTCACTAGCTGTGACTGACAACAGTAGGAGCCAATGGCTCCCACTGCTGTATAAACCAATGAGGAGAGTGAGACCTGGGAGAGCCACTGCTCTCATGCACATTGTTGGATCGAGATGGAGCTCAGGTAAGTTGCACCTAGAAGGTTTTTTTACCTTAATACATCAAATACATTTAGGTAAAAAACCTTGAGACTTTAGAACCACTCTAAGGGTATGTGTGTTTTTTTTTTACTTGTTTTGTTTTATACAATGGGATAGAAAGGGCATCATAATGTTATGTTATGAATGGCACTTTATTGAGCTGCAAGGTGGTCTGTGTTAGATACTTCATATGGTGGTTGGCAGATTTGCAGATGATGTCATATAGTCATGGCTGTACACTATAGAACAGAGCTATACGCTGATTAATTCACACATTGGCAGAAAGTAAACTCCCCAGCTGTTTTGAAGCTGGTTATCCTGGCATGTGGGTCCTACTGAAACAACTAGTTTAAGAACAGCTCCCATAGGCTGCCTAGCCTAGTAAAAATGTTGCATAACCTATGAAATGAAGTGTCTGTACATATCTGTGTCCTTCTGTCTACACATCTAGTAACTTGTGTATTCATAATTTACAATTACTTTAACCACTAGCCTACAGGGCACTTATACCCCCTTCCTGCCCAGGCCAATTTCCAGCTTTCAGCGCTGTTGCACTTTGAATGATAATTGCGCGATCATGCAACACTGTACCCATATGAAATTTTTATCATTTTTTTTTGCAACAGATAGAGCTTTATTTTGGTGGTATTTAATCACCTCTAGATTTTTTTTTCTTAAACACACTAAAAACCACTGAAAATTTTGAAAAAAAAAAGTTTTTTTCTTAGTTTTTGTTATAAAATGTTGTAAATAAGTGATTTTTCTCCTTCACTGATGTGCGCTAATGAGGCTGCACTGATGGGCACTGATAGGATGCACTGTTGGGCACTGATAGGCTGCAATGATGGACACTGATAGGCTGCACTGATGGACACTGATAGGTGGCACTGATGAGGAGGCACTGGTAGGTGGCACTGATGGGCATTGACAGGCATCACTGATGGGCACTGATAGGTGGCACTGATAGGCGAGACTGACTGGCATGTTAGGTGGCACTGACTGGCACTGATAAGCAGCACTGACGGGCACTGATAGGCGGCACTGCTGCACACTGATAGGTGGCACTGACTGGCACTGATAGGCGGCACTGACTGGCACTGATAGATGGCACTGATTGGCAGCACTGATAGGTGGCACTGACTGGCATTGATAGGTGGCACTGATGGGTGACACTGAAAGGCAGCTCAGGTGGGCACTGATATGTGGCATTGATGTGGCACTGATGGGCACTGAAATGTGGCATTGCTGGGCACTGGCAGGTGGCATGGATGAGCACTGAGAGCTGGCACTGATGGACACTGACAGGTGTCGCTGCTGGGGCTACACAGATCATCAGGGCACACTGATCATCAGTGCTCTGATGATCTGTGTACATGTCCCCTCCGAGGAAAGCTGATTACCGGCTCTCCTCTCCTCACGAGCTGTCAGTGTGACAGCTCAAGGGGAGAGAAATGCAGATAACCGGCATTTCCCTGTTTACATGTGATCGGCTGTGATTGGACACAGCTGATCACATGACCGAGCTGACATCTTTGGCTCTTTCCGCGGATCGGCGATCCGCTATGTCCGAGGGACACAGCGCACTGCCGATCGCCGCGCTGTGCTCTCCGGGAGCCGCGCATGCGCGGTTAGAATGGGAGGACGTCATATGACGTCCTCCCAGAACGAGAGAACCGCCTTGCGTCTGTCATATTACTATATAGCGGGTGGGAGGCGGTTAATCATGCATTGCTGTTTACTTATCAAGAGCAAAAAACTTAATGAAGTATACAGGTGAAACTCGAAAAATTTGAATATCGAGCAAAAGTTCATGTATTTCAGTAATGCAACTTAAAAGGTGAAACTAATATATGAGATAAACTATCTTGCTTTGCATGTAATGAGTCTAAGCCGTGATTTGTCATAATTGTGATGATTATGGCTTACAGCTCATGAAAACCCCAAATCCACAATCTCAGAAAATTAGAATATTACATGCAATCAATCAAACAAGGATTGTACATAGAACAATATCGGACCTCTGAAAAGCATAAGCATGCATATGTACTCAGTACTTGGTTTGGGCCCCTTTTGCAGCAATTACTGCCTCAATGCGGCATGGCATGGAAGCTATCAGCCTGTTTCACTGCTGAGGTGTTATGGAAGACCAGGATGCTTCAATAGCGGCCTTCAGCTCTTCTGCATTGTTCGGTCTCATGTCTTTCATCTTTCTCTTGGCAATGCCCCATAGATTCTCTATGGGGTTCAGGTCAGGCGAGTTTGCTGGCCAATCAAGCACAGTAATTCCACAGTCATTGAACCAGGTTTTGGTGCTTTTGGCAGTGTGGGCAGGCGCCAAGTCCTGCTGGAAAATGAAGTCAGCATCCCCATAAAGCTCATCGGCGGAAGGAAGCATGAAGTGCTCCAAAATCTCCTGGTAGATGGCTGCGTTGACCTTGGACTTAATGAAGCACAGTGGACCAACACCAGCAGATGACATGGCTCCCCAAATCAACACAGACTGTGGAAACTTCACACTGGACTTCAAGCATCTTGCAGTGTGTGCCTCTCCATTCTTCCTCCATACTCTGGGTCCTTGTTTTCCAAATGAGATGCAAAAGTTGCTCTCATCAGAAAAAAGAGGACTTTGGACCACTGAGCAACAGACCAGGTCTGTTTTTCTTTAGCCCAGGTAAGACGCTTCTGATGTTTGTTGTTCAGGAGCGGCTTGACAAGAGGAATACGACATTTGAAGCCCATGTCCAAGATCCATCTGTGTGTGGTGGCTCTTGATGCACTGACTCCAGCCTCAGTCCACTCCTTGTGAGTCCCCAACACTTTTGAATGGCCTTTTCCTGACAATCCTCTCCAGGCTGCTGTCATCCCTGCTGCTTGTGTACCTTTTTCTTCCACAGTTTTCCCTTCCACATAACTTTCTATTAATCTGCTTTGATACAGCACTTTGGGAACATCCAACTTCTTTTGCAATTACCTTTTGAGGCTTTCCCTCCGTATGGAGGGTGTCAATGATGGTTTTCTGCACAACTGTCAGGTCAGCAGTCTTTCCCATGATTGCGATTCCTACTGAACCAGACTGAGTGACCATTTGAAGGCTCAGGAACCCTTTGCAGGTGTTATGGCTTAATTAGCTGATTAGAGTGGGACACTTTGAGCCTAGAATATTGCACCTTTTCACAATATTCTAATTTTCTGAGATTGTGGATTTGGGGTTTTCATGAGCTGTAAGCCATAATCATCACAATTATGACAAATCACGGCTTGAACTATCTTGCTTTGTATGTAATGAGTCTATCTCATATATTAGTTTCACCTTTTAAGTTGCATTACTGAAATAAATGAACTTTTGCACGATATTAAAATTTTTGGAGTTTCACCTGTATAACATAAACCAAAATTTAGGCAGCCACTGTATTCAGTACTGTTTTTTTGTTGAAAAATATACTTTGTTTATATATAAAATAAATAATATTTTATTATGGTACATTCTGCACATGAATACACCACATTAAAATAATATTTCAGTAACACAAATTACATTCACTCTGCGGTTTGATGCCCAATATGCAGCACAGAGCAAGATGTTTCCTGTGCCATCAGATCACATGATACCACTTTACACCGTAAGCGTTAAGGTACCACCAAAATACCTAGTGGTGTCAGACTTGCAGTGCCTGAGTTTACCCCTACCCCACGTATCCTACAAAGCACTGCAATAAATCCAAACTCTATTCAGTTCTGATACTCCACTAATGTAGGATCTATTCAGGTTTCTGATATCTGTAATATCTCAACAGTGCTCTCCTCTTCAGCGTTTAGAGGGTGTGGGGGGTACTTGTGGTGGGTCTTAGAAATTGATAGTGTGTGCTACTTGGAATGAAGATCACAAGTAGGACATTGATAGCATGGTTTGAATTTGTAGAAAAAACACTGGGAGAAAAAAGTCATCAGATTAATAATGTAATATATTATTTTACATGTACATAGTAAATACATTTTTTTTCTTTTACAGAATTGCAGTATCTACAATGGGGAAACTGACAGTGATCACCTTTCTGTGTGCCTGCTTGAAAAATGTTTGATCCCCCTGGTTGCCAACATCACTCATCTGCCTGTGAAACAAAATGATTATTCTGGATTTTTTGCAACTTTGCATAGAACAACCACATCTCAGTTCATAAGTGGGGCACTGCTGGAAGCAACTACATTGTTAGGTGCAAGAAGCGGTCTTCCCAGTTTAACTTGTGGCTCCATTGGGAGAACAATGCTAAAAGGTAACTGGAATTTATGTAAAATGAAGTTGTAAAAAAAAATGTAACAGTAAAAAATCAGTTTGATTATACTTCGTTAACTCCAGGAATGATCTGTGTTGCATGCTTGGTACAACATAGGTTTTTTTTCCAGAATATGTTTATTTGAGTTTACAGACATACAATAGTAACATACATGGGCAAAATACAAAAGGTGTGGCTTGCGCAGGAGACAATGCCCAGGTGCAATTCCAAAAAATATATTAAAAAAGTAAAAAAAAAAAAAAAAAAACATTTAAAGAACAAGTTGCAAGGCTCATGCACAAAATAATCACATGTAAGAGTAATGACCAATCACCTAGACCAGACTTTGTTTAACTTTGTCGGGCAGACCCTATTATGGTATATGTCTTGGTACAAGGGTAAAACTGAGTTGACCAGCTTCATCCAAAATGAAACCGAGGGTGGAGAAGGCTTTTTCCAATGAAGAGCAATGGCTTTCTGGGCTTAGAACAGGAGAAGACTTAAAAGTATTTTTGTTGCCAACCTGAGAGCTAGTTCTTTGACTAGGCATAAGAGACAAAATCTTGGTGATAAGGCAATGAGGATTTGTACCACTGAATTAATAACCTCTAGATCCTGTCGCCAGTATACCACTATAGCAGGACACTCTCAGAAGACAAGTATGTAGTCTCCCACGGAGTGTGAACATTGCCAGCATGTGGGGGATATGGAGGAATTCATTTTGTGGGGTCTGTGTAGAGTCAGATAAGCTCTATGAACAATTTTAAATTGTATTAGTTTGCCCCTAATGGTTCCAGGTGGTTAAAGGGAAAGTCCCATACTTCAGACCAGTCTTCATCATTCATCTCCAGAAAGACATCAGTACTCCACTTTTGTTGGTAAAGCTGCAGTCAATATATATCTGAAGAGCCTGGAGGTGGGCTTTTCCAAGTCAGGTACTCGCAGTATGGACTCTGATTCAGAATAGGAGAGTTCTAGCTGCAGACCAAGGAACAGAGTGTCAAAGGCATGGGCAATTTGGAGGTATCTAAACTGATAGTGGGAGGGGAGATTGAACTTTTGTTTAATAGAGTGGAAAGGTAGTAGTCTATGATGTGCGATAATATGCTCCAACACTTTTATTTTGTACTTAGCCCAAACCAAGGGATCTGGAAGAGTAAAAAATGGGGGAGGGAAGGGATGAGCCAAAGAGGGGTACGGGGAGACCGTGTGCCAGGTGGAATGAATTCAAATTGAAGACCCATTGTCCAGGCTTTCAGTGTGGTAAGCATAGATGGGGTTAAATTGTATGGGGCCTTTGGACGCACAGCATAGGTTTACATACCTCATACCTGATGGCCCCTGGGGAAGCTGGAAATTACTGTAGTAGTCAAGTCTACTATGGTTATAGCTGCAATATTTTGGGACCAGTTCAGGTTCTGTGTGAGCATGTGTTCTGTGTCATCCATGCTGCATATGTTGTTACCCTTTTCTGACAGAAGGTGAGATACTTAAGAGATAAAGGGTGGGTTCATAATACCTCTCCTGGTCTTTAAGCTCCCTGGGCATCCTGGAAAGACAGAATTCAAACATGTCCTTTATTCTGTGTTTGGCACTGATGACTAAAAGCTTGACTGCACATGGATATTCCAGTTGAGGGGCAGGACAGCAGTTGGGGATTGACAGATATTGTACTGACAGTATCTGTAATAATAATGTGGACTGGGCCCCTCAAAAGGCTTTGTGAAAGGACAAAGCCAACATGTTGTTCAGAATTCTTAAAGTGGAATCGTAACTAAAAATAATAAAAAATGTCAGGCAGAAATTTTAATTCAGAAGAGTCATGCTTTGTCTCTTCTGCATTAAAGTTATTTATCTGTCTATCCGCCCCTGTACAATGAGCTGCGAATGTTCAGCTTACTGTACAAATATGGCAATGCTGAATATGACGGAACTCCCGCGCATGGGTCATCCACACCCAGACGATGACAGCGGCCAGCAATTGAAACCTGGAAGCTGACCACTCAAAGATTTCCGTGGCGAGGCGTGTAGCAGAGAGACGCTGCATCACTGGAACTGAGGTGAATATATTGTTGCTTTTAGTCAGTTGTGACAGTTTGTAACAAGAGGAGACACATAACAGCAGTGATCCCCTTTACATCATCCCAGGAAGGCATCCTATACAATCAACAACCTTTTGGCTGCATTCAAAACACCCTTAATAGTACTTTGATAGGATTAGAGCAGAATCTAACCCAATCCATATCTTAGTCTTCGGACCATCGTAAAA